TGAACTGTTAACTTAATTGTGTCCGCAGTTGTCATTGTCAATGAATTTGCTCGTACTGCGTATTTTTTTAACACGAAAACTATCACCCCTCCTGCCCTATATGTTTCGTTGCAGTTACCAAATTGATTATAATTTTCAATTGTGAAAAGTCCCAATTCCGAATCTGAAATCCAGATCTCCGATAGTATTATTATTTCCGGGAGTTTTTTTTAAAGAATTTAAATATAAAAGGAGTTTACCAAAATTCTCTCTCAAGTTTTGATGAAAAACACAAAAACCCTTTATACCATGATCGACAATATTTAACTCTAAAAATGAATAATTTTGATTTAAACTGTAGATACTTACAAACATATGTAAAAAACAAAAAGAAAAGAGAAAAAAGGACATTTTGACTAATGTACTTTAAGTAATTTGAACTAAACAAAGGCATCCTTATAAATAATATGAAGAAGATAGCAAAGGTTACAGATTTTTTAATTTTTAGATCGTCCATTGTAGAGATCCGAACCACTGTTGTTCCTTGGTCCTTCCGCATGAGGATTCTTGCGATTTGTGTCCATAGATAGCGTAATTGTTCATCTTTTTTGCCTCCTGCGCTACTGAGTGTAATTTCCTCCGTTCAGGGCTGAGACTCTCGTTAATGTTGATACCCCGACTGCTGAGTAGATAAGTTCCTCTTCACTTTCCTTTTGGCGATCATGTTCATCTTTTCTTCTTTCCTCACAAACTTTACTATTATACCGGCCGGTCGACAAACTATCGCGTGGTTTCCCTAATCGATGACATACATCAATTTGTTCCCTATTTATGTTCATGTCAAAGGAGACATCCCACTTTCCTTACTATCTCGTACACGTCCTCTCCTTTCTCCTCTGGGACACCAAAAATTTCAAGACAGTTCGATCTACTGTATTGCTCCACGTCTTCAATTCTTGCTTCCAGTTGCATATTTTTTCTTTTAGCTACACGTTCTCTTGGGACAGATTTTCAAAATTTGTTAAGCACTCGTCTAACTTTCTAGACAGCTCTTCTATCAATTTACTTTGTTCATCTATTTTGTTGTGTGCGAATTCAAATGATGAATTGAATTGGGCTTCCAAATTCCTTCTGTCTTCTTTTGCCTCTTGTAACATAGGCCAGTCAAATTAGGAAAAATAGCGGAAATAATTGAAAGAAAGCTGAAAATTGGTATAGAGGTACATTAGGGCTTGTATTCGAACATACTAAAAGTCGGGACCAAAACTCCAATGGCTCGAGCCGCCATCTTGGAAAAAAGGTGCTCCAAATCACTTTCTCGCTGATATCTCGGTAACCGTGCATTCTAGCAAGTAAAATTTTATATGAAAAAAGAAAGATAATAAAATTTTGTATAAAAAAGATGGTACGCACTTTTTTTGTATTTTCGTTATTTACGTCGATATTCCACATTGAATATAGAGCATAATCTTTTTTCAGATGCAGGTGCATTACTTTCAGCGCTCGCGTGCTTTAAACATATGTTTAAAAAATTGACTGACATTGTTAAGGCCTGTTGACCACCTAAGAGAAGGAAATAATACATAATATATTTATTTTTATACTATATAGCCGAATACAAAAGATACCTACATAAGGAAACTAAGAAAAATAAATATTGCCAAAATCCGAAGTCGTTTGAACTACTTGTAATGGATATGGGGCATTTACAAAAAAAATATAAATCAAACTTGACTTCATTTCATAAAAAAAATACTAAAAATAATAAACTAAACTAAACAATTCAATTAACAATTCGCGAAATACTTAGTACATAGCGCTGTTCCAGTATCCACACCTGAACTTTTTTCGTGAAAGCGGTATAGGTAGATATCTTTTTCGTTTCGCGCGGTAGAATGGAATAAAGCCTTGGAGCAATGTACTGAGCACATCGTTTACCGATTGTTTTTTCAGACCTTGGAAAAAGTATATTATGGTCTTCCTGGCGTGTATAAATGAGAGTGCATGTTGGGCAGTCATTTTGGATGTTTTTCTGAACTGGAGGATTTTGTTAGAGTAAAGTTGGCGTAAATTCATTACATTTGATTCCTTATACAGGGTGGTGCCTAGCACAACGCAGCACAGGGATGTCAATGATAATTTCTTTATAGTCAATTACTAGCTCCCCTAATTATTTTAGAGCAAAAGTCTAAAGAAGTTTTTTAGAGAAAAAAATACTGTGTGATGACACGAGAAACAAATTCGTACTTTTCCGTGTTTCCAAGGACTCTAGATTCAATTAGAACATCTAAGATGGATCGTGCTCATCAAATTCAAACGAAAGATTATATTGCAGGAAGGCTTTAAGGCCTCCAAAGTTACTCAAAATGTCAGTACCTTCCTCGCAAAAATCGAAATATTCTTCATTAGTAGACTCACATTACTAAGTGCTTTCCAAAATTGAAGAAGAGGACAAAATACTTAATACGGAAGAATAGTTTTCGAACGGATACCTCTTGATTTTGAGGATGTTGGCTTATACGTTATACGTTCCGTTCAATAAAACTGCAACATAACATAACAATAATACCTAAACCGATTTTATCTTAAAGTAAGGCTTGCGTAACATTTTAAAGTTCGCAAAGAATAAATGTTATAATAATCGCTAAACCACTTACGAACATTTAAAGGTAGAAGCGTAACAGTTATATCTCTTGCATATTAATGCAAGAATATACACAATGTGGTTTTGGTGGCCGTCTACCGTGAAATTGTGTTAACTTATATATGCATTTGTGGCTCTTTCACATAACCATTATTTAGCAAGTTTTAAGAAACAGCGGCGGATGTAACTTGATAAACTTTGTGCCCAGCAATCAAACGCTACGTTCACTTCGCCTTTTGTATTATGCGCGTTAAGATTGATCTTGAGATGGATAAGCGATCTTTATTTTAGCGCGAAGAGAATCAGTCCGTACAATTACGGAGTACAATAATTGTTTTTGAAGATTTAATAAACAATTGTACCTACACACTTTTTTAAATTTTAGTGCCTTTCTTATAGATTTTGTCTTCTATGCACTCTCCAGATTTTAGATCTGCAGCTTTCTCTTCCTTTTGACTATACCTCGTATGACGATGGACGTACAACTAAGAAACGAAATTTTAAAATTTGGGCTCATTATTTTTTTAATTGGAAAGCCATTTTATGATTAGGTTTTCCTATTCACTTAATTCTATCATACAGTAGTAAATGTGAATTTTACGTGTCACCAAACTGAGATTTTTACTTGCCTAGAAATTAACATTGGAAATGTTTATGCTTTCATAGGTATATGGGTAATGGTGGATCTTATAATCGATTTTAAATTCAAAGAATATCATTCTTGGAGTCCCATATCTTTGTGTTCCTAACAACATTCTGCCAGAAAGATGCAGATACAAAATTGCAATTGGTAACGAAAAGATATGCTGTATTGAAAAAATTGTATGTGAGACTCGTTTAAATTATAGAATTAAAACATGTGTATTGTAGCGAATATTCCAGACCGACATTGGAGCGCCAGCAAGGCGTCATGAAATCGATAAAGGATTAGTCACCGTCAATAAGGAGTTATAAACTCATTAATAAATAATTGTAATTAAGTAAGGCAGGTAATTAAATTTACATTACAGTGTAATGTCTTTTAGTGAGTGAGTGGAAGATTTACTCGATAACATTCCTTTAGAAGAGAGACGAACGATTGTTTTTCAACAAGACTGTGCCCCACCTCATAATGCGTTAATTGTTCGAAATTATTTAAATGATCTCGTACCTAATAATTGGATGGGAATGCAGGGCCCAATAAAATGGATAGCACGTTCACTCGACTGAAACCCATTGGATTTCTTTTCGTAGTGATTTTTGAAAAATAAATTTATAAATATCCTTCTCCAACTGAGAACGAATTACGGGAATATGTAGAAAGAGCGTTTGAAGAAGTTTGACCACTACAACTCCTGGGTGCAACAAGATCTTTTAGAAAGAGATGCGATATGTGCATTTCTCATAAAGGAGGGCCCTTTGAACACTGTACGTAGCCCATAGTAATTGCCCAAAAGTCTAACGGTAGCATTCAATTTGAGTATCAAAATTTAGTAGCTTGAAATGGTTTTCCAAATATATAATATTCTTGGTGGAAATTTCAAAAATAAATTTGCCAACCATGATGGAAATTAAGCTAATCTTGACGGCTTTGTTTAATTTTAATGGTGCATTGTTTCTTAATGGGTTCGGAACCCTTTCCAGCCGAGATATCTGGCAACAAATTTCGTTTTCTTAATTAGTGTTTTTCGATTACAATTGCAAGCCAGCATGGGATCACGCTTAAATCGTAAACTTCAGTGGGAAAGCACCACCTCTTTCTTCTGGGCTTTCGCGAGTATAACGATTCCTATGGGCACAATAAAACACATGTTGAAGCAGTACTTCTTAACACCAAATAGGTGGAATTAATCTGGGTGAAAAAATTAATAGGATTCGCGAGATAGTAACCGAGGCGACCAGTGTGGGTCCATAATAGTTGGTTGGGAAAAGCACGAGCGGATTTCTGCGAGTTACGAATAGTAGTGTTTTCCAACGTGTTTCACACAATATTTTTTCTAATTTTGACATTTAAAGTGATACTTTTCATCACCCTTTGCGAAATATTTTACTTTTCACAACTGGTTAAATTTCTAAATATCATGATGTAGTTTTAAAATGAAAAATCATCGGATCTGCAACATTTTATTAAAAGTTTAATTCCTGTTTACTATCCTACTGTACGACAAAAATTTGAATGTTTCCGTATATCCTAAATGTAAAATTATATTGCAGTGCAAGCAAAGGTCAATATACGTTTAGTATGTAAAATAACAGATGACATTGGGTTGCATTACTCAACGGTTTTACGATAAGTACCTATGTCGCTCGCTGTTATTTTAATGATTTATTCGCCGACTGACTTCGAAAGAGGTTAGATATTAGTAGAGTGAAAATTGTGATTTGTAAATGAGCGGTACAAATTTGTGTTTTAAAAGCGGATGGTCCTTAGTGGCAAGGGCTAGGTAAATTAAAAAGTCCAGTTTACGTAAAGAAGTGTAGTGAAGATCTCTCTTTTCAGCAAGAACGAATAAAAGCTTTGGTCAATCTGCGTAAGAAGAATTACGTCAGCCGCATCGATGATTCATTTTGAGATTCTTTTAACCAGTTATTTTTCACCGCCCAGAATTAAATTTGGGAGTATCTCTACAAGGAAGATATCCAGTGAAAGTCGGGATGTCCCACAATCCGAAACCACTCCGGAAAATTCACCAGAGAGCAAAATCGGAGGAAATTTGGATCTGAGACCATAACCGTATCATACGACTAAGGTCAGCGAGTGGCTCCGGCTGCAGTGAAAACAAAGGTAAGTACCTATTATTTTTCTTTACATTCTGCATGTTATGCACTCTATCTTTAACGCGTTTTGTATTCGTGCGTCGCCATAAACCTTTTTACCGAGCATTTTACAAACTTTTCGTTATTGAATGAACTGAATTATTTCCTAATTTTATACCAACTTGAGCTAGCTGAAAGTTAAAGTACCAAAAAGGTGAGTTCCAAGGCATTTCAACGTAACAAGACGAAGAAAGTATCAGAGGAATTTACACCACCAACCTGAGAAAGTCTCCGACACTTTTTAAAGTACCATTAAAAATTAGCAACCCTTTTTCAGGGAAGAATTACTGAACCACCCTTTTATTTGTACCCATCCGTTACAGGTCTCAGGATTTTTCCCTGCAATACCCGAGTTAATCTTCAAAATTTTGTTTTCAAAAAGGAAAAGAAATTCAGTCCCTTTTATTGCAAAAGCCTATTGCAAAAGATTGTGGGATTCGCTTATGTTGTGATTATACAAACTTTTCCATACACTCCATATAGAAGACATCAAGTTTTGAATATTGTGATATACAGTTCCTGGTTATATTTTTAAATTTTTGAATTACGTGAAATAACCGAGATTGTAATAATAAATTGAAAGAACGGTTTTGAACTGTTTTGAGGTCTAGGGATTGCTGAAATAATTCGATTCGATAATTGTTGGAAGGCGCTATTATGGTCACTTTCTCCGTTCGCCCGTCTGTCCGACCGAGGCCTACTCCTACAATTTTCAACATATTTAGTTCGTTATTTTTGCATTCGGTAGTTTATAGCTCTGACACCAAGAAAAATCTGCGCAGTTTTTAGTCTTTGAAATTTTTTTAATTTGGATCTACATAACAGGTGCGGTCGTACGCAACATAACATTTTTTTAAGTACACTAAGAGAAAGCTCTATTCGTTCTCTGCAACCGTTTTCAAGTAATCAATTTTCAAGGTACCGTCTGCATCCGCCATTTTTTTAATTAAAAGTCAAAATAATTTAAAAACCATAAATTGTAGATAACGACATGTGGATATCAAAAGAACTGAAATTTTACGTACAATCCAAAAATGCAATAACAAATAGGGGTGGCCATTGGAAATAACCAAGTTACTAGCTCCTTCCGGTATTTCCGGAAGTGCCACCATTTTGAAAATGCTCGCAGTTTACATCGATTCGGCCTTTAGAGTAACTCCTAAGTTCATATATTCAAAAACCTACCTATTTCACTTTCCTCCGCGTCATGTAAACGACCACTTTCATGACTTAGTATGTAAAACTATTATCGAACTTGGTAACAATTTATACATTATTTCAGGAACATTGATTACTCACACCAGAAGAGCAGGCGAGTAGACAGGAGTAGGAAGTATGCTACACACCTACTTTTACCTATTGAGTAGCTACAAGAAGCTCTCTGAAAGTATTTTATAGGCATACTATTAATTTTCCAAAACTATATCTATACAGGGTGTTTATTAAACATGCGGCAAAAATGTAAAGGGTTATTCCTTGGACTATTCTAAGGATATTTTGTCCTTCGATGATTTTTGATAGGGCGCTTTGATTTGATTTGAGAAATAGGATAATTGCTGGGTGTAACGCAATCAGAAACGATCCTGGTGTTTTTGAAAGAGTTCGTGAGTCGATGAGGAGAATTTTGGATTCTTGCATCCGAGCGGGGGGTAGTCATTTTGAACGGTTCATGTAGATTAAGAAACATTACATGTTAATTTTTTTTGGTAATATATTGTTATTGTCGAAATTCTTTTTCGCCCCGATCTTCGATAGAAAGCGCCCTATCAAAAATCATCGAAGGACAAAATATCCTTAGAATAGTCCAAGGAATAGCCCCCTTTTTTGCCGTATGTTTAATAAATACCCTGTATAGTACCTACTGCAGGATTTCTTCAATATTTCAAGAGCATTTAAATAGTTTCCAAAAGTATTTAAATAGTCAAGTGTATTTAAATAAGTACTAGGAAAGTACTTAGTACAAAACTATTTAAATACTTTCCCAAAAGTGGAAAAGTTTGTTGGCCAGTGATTCCATGTTCTAGGTATCAAATCATATACAGTAAATATAATATAGAAAATAAATGAGTAACGAAAAACATTTGAATTTTTTTAAATTGCAGTGCACCTTTTCATTAGGCTCATTTGATAGCGATTTTCTTTCTCTTTTCGAAGATATAACATGTTAGTACCCTAATACAAGAAATTTTTTCAAAAAAACTTATTATCACGTCAATAACATTAATCTAGATATCCTGCATCAAAATTAAAAAAATGAAGGTGTACTTTCTTATTAAACCTTGAAGAAAAAATGAAATGAACAATAACATGGTACCAAAAGTACACATTCATTTGTTTTATTTTGATGGAGGAAACCTTTCTTTTAAAGGAAATCCCTTTCCTAGTCGTATAAACTTTTTATTTATACTTTCCAAAAAGTTCAAAAAAATGTATCAAATGAGCCTAATGAACAGGTGCACTGCAATTTTAAAAAAATTGAAATGTTTTTCGTTAGTCATGTATTTTCTGAAATAAAAACAACTGTATGCTGCTTTATTATGGGAAATAAAATGTTAAACAGCTCAAAAATTTCGTATACATTCGATATTTACCAAGATATATACTATATTCCATACATAATGGGCACCCTGTATATGCCAAATTTAGGTTTTCAATCTGTGTGTGTAAAACAAACATATATTACTATTAAAATTATTATCGTCCATTTAAAGGGTTGTTTAAATTATAGTAAAGTAGGACGTGACCAGCGGACTTCGTATATCGTACTTTTTGAATATTGGATTTTTCAAGGAACATGAACTTTCCTTTTATATGACTGTAGAAAAAAGTGGAAATTGATTCATTTAAATTTCAATATTTTCATACAGGCCCGTGGCTAGGGGGTAGCCAGGTGCGGCTAAGCCCCACCTAGAAAAGTACCGGCCACCCTGCTGCTTCATACTGGCTACGGGCCTGTTTTGATAGTTGTGTATTTATTTGCCATCAAGGTGGTCGAAAGCGCAAGAGATTTGCTTTTTTTAATTTTGTAAAAATACATTTTACTGAAGCAGTTGGGACAAGGTCATTTTAATGAAGTAAGCTAGCCGTGGACACACTTTGAGACAAAAAGTTAACTTTAGGGTAAACAGTCAAAAGTTAAATAAAGTGCTCGGCGACCACCCTGAAATGTATCCCCTGTAAAGGTTGCAAGAATTATTGGCACCAACGCAACGATATAAGAATCGACCGGTTTTTGGTTTTTTGTTAAAACATTTATTTCGTCGAGTTTTAGAGGGGGTGGGGTACAAATTGTAGTTGGGACACCACATATATCTGTAATCAAACGTAGGCAAGAAGACCATTTAAGGCGGCTCCCGAAGAGAAGGGTTTCCTCGGCCCTGGCAGGAAATTTTGAACAGAAGTGTCAGCATTATTTATTTGTGTATCAAGGTGTGTGCATCCTTCTACATACAGACACATACATTATACAGGGTCGCTGATAAGTCTGGAAACGGTCGATTATCGGGGAAAATATACAAGGTAAGAAATAAAGTGGCGTGGGGCAATATTGCATTTTTTAAACGGAACACTCTGTATATTATTGGATATTTCAATCATTGTCTTAATTCGTAATTTGTAAGAAGCATAATGTACCCAAATGCAATTGTATCCGAGTTATCGAGTTTTGAAAATAAAACGTATTGCTTTAAAATGTACTAAATAAAGAATAATAATTTATGACATCACGAATTTCTTTTAAAAACATAGTGTGGTTCTGAAAATAACCGTTTGTGAAGTTACGATCGTTTGGAATCATTATTTATTGTTTTTTGTTCAATTATTAATGAATTTCAGAATAATAGCGTTTAGTTTCAAAACTCGTTAACCCGGAAACAATTGAATTTAGATGCTTATTACAAATTTTGCTTAAAATTCAGAGAAGAATTGAAATATTGAATAATATACAGGGTGTTCCGTTAAAAAAAAGCCGCGCCTATATGAGCAACCCTGTATAATTAAAATTATTACTTCCTAGTAGACATTGAAGAATCCCTTAACATTTTGTACAAACATATTTGGATATCTTCTATATTTTCCCCGATAATCGACCATTTCCAGACTTATCAGCGACCCTGTATAATGATCCATATTTCGGGGGTTACCATCTGTATACCAGTTAGTATAGACAGAAAGAAGTGTTTTGCAGATTCTGGGCAGATTTCAAATATCATTTTAAATTTAATGTCACATTCTTGTTTTTAAGACGCTTGAGAAACGAAAACTGACCAATTTTGATTTGAGCAAACACCGCGAAAACCATCTTATTGTCTAAACTTGTACATTATTAAGACAAATTTTTTTGGTGTCAACCTCAACAATGAACCACTAATATAATTGCCCCTTATAATAAAACAAATGTTACATCAAAATTACAGATTTACCAGTAAAAGAGCGATTCAGCCCATATCGGAATACTTTAATACTAACCCATTTTAAGGTGGGGTACGTAATAATGATGATTATTAGGTATATTTACAAAAATCTGTTGCAGTGAAAGTGAAACCAAATCTTTGGATGATCAACGAGAACGTTACGGGAAAACACCAATCCTTTATAGACAGCAATTTACTTACAAATTAACGAATCAATACTGAAATTTAAAATTGGGAATATATATTAAAGGGGGCGCGGATAAACGAAGCAAGCGAACCCATTACCAAAAACCCATCCCATCTCATTTAAAAAACAAGCACTTGACAAACTGTATGTATTGATAAACAACATCGATCGATCATTTGCTAGCGTTAGAACGAGACGAATATGCAATTGTCGGGGTATAAAAATGAGAGGGCGATATATCTGAAAACGTGGGCCTGAAAATTAAGGTATCCGCAGCACGTAGGAAACGTTGATAAGCGTGCGCGCCAACAAGACATTGTCGGCGACAATTAGGACTCTTTAACACGAAGGGTGCGTCCACGATTAGTA